TCCAGTAAAACAAACGACGGATGATCATTGTCCCTTCCTCTGTGAGAGCAGACCTCCGACTCTGGGGAAACACCTTGTTTCTGTCAGAGGGAGTCCCCTTCAGCAGACCCACGTCACGGGTCAGTCTTCACGGACGCGTCGCTGTCAGGCTGGGGGGGGGGGACATGCCTATCTCAAGCAGTAGGGGCGCTGTGGCCCCACTACACATCAGCCCACATCAATGTTTTGGAGTGCCGCACAGCACTGAATATGATTCAACACTTTGCTCCCATGCTACAGAATCAACACGTGTTGATTCACACAGACAACATGATGACTGCTGCGTACATAACCATCAAGGGTGTGCGTTCAGCCCAGATGTTACACATTGCGCGAAAGCTACTGTGTTGGGCTCATCAAAACCTGCTCTCTATTAGAGCGGTTTACATATCCGGTGTTCTGAACAGAGGGGCAGATGTGATGTCCAGGGGCGGCCCACTTCACGTGGACCAGACCCTCCATCCAGATTTGATGTTTTTCAGACGTGGCAGAATTGGCAAAGCAGCTGTGGACCTGTTTGCGACGCGAGAGAACGCTCAGTGTCAACTATGGTTTTCCCTGAGCCCGCGAGACGATCCATCGCTGGGGGGGGACGTATTTGCTCACAGCCCGTGGCCCAAAACGCTTTTATACGCGTTTCCTTTTCCCCCACCTCCTCTGTTTTTACGGTTCCTGAACCGAGTTCAGGAGGAGGGATTGACAGCTTTCCTGGTGGCTCCCGGCGTGTGAACGCACCATGGTTCCCAGGCCTGCACCGTCTGTTGTCGGGTCGCCGTGGAACTGCCGTGGAGGGAGGATGCTCTCCTTCAGGCAGGAGGAGCGATCAAGAGTTACCCAGAAATAGGTCAGCACCTGTGGGTCTGACCGCTGAGCGGTCCCACTTAGAGAGGATGGGTCTCCCTCAGGAGATAGTATGCACAATTCAAGATTCACGTGCTGCATCTACCACAGTTCTGTACACATCAAAGGGGACGGCTTTTCAGCGCTGGTGTACAGAGAAAGGTTTAGAGGCCACCTCATGCCTTTTTAGGCGGAGTGTTGTTTTTCTACAACAGCTGATGGATAGGAAGTTGGCTTTCAGTACGCTTTAACGTACGTTGCAGTCATCTCTTCCTGCCACGAAGGTTTCGGAAACAGAACAGCTTTTAATCACCCGCTGATGAAGCGTTTTTTCTAAAAGGTGTTCAGAGACGCAGGCCTGCTTCACGTCCACTTGCTCCACAGTGGGATTTAACGCTGGTCCTGCGAGTCCTGATCAAAGCTCCAATCGAGCCTCTGGATCAGGTTTTCACTTAAAATTCTTGTCTCTTTAAACAGCCCTGCTGCTGGTTTTAACACCCGCTAAGAGGGTAAGTAATTATCTGCCCTCTCTGTTGCTTCGTCATGCCTTAGAATTTAGGCTGACGGGCAGCTCAGCTGATTTAAGACCAAACCCAGCTTTTATGCCTAAAACATCACGAGCTCTTTTAAATCAAGAGTGATATCGTTGGAGGGGTTTCTCCCCCCCCAACAGATCAGAAGAGGAAGCATCTTTTCATCTTCTCTGCCCGGTGCGGGCGTTGACGTGTTACATAGCGCGCACAGCTGCAATGCGTTTCAAACTCAACAATTGTTTGTGCATTATAGAGATGCTTCTGCAGGTTGCCCGTTATCCAGCGCTTGTCACACTGGCTGTGTGAGGTTTTTTCTGAAGCCTAGAGAGCATCAGATTTAGAGCCTCCTGTCAACCTCTAAGCACACTCGACCAGGGGTATCGCATCTTGGACTGCTCTGTATAATGGTATGTCAATGCAGGACATTTGCTCTGCGGCTGCATGGTCAACACCCTGCTCATTTATTCGCTTTTACCTACGTGATGTAACGGTTCGTTCCATGACACATTCTGTCCTTAGTGCTCTAACAGAATGAATATTATTGTTCTCATGGAACTCTGTTTAAGCTCACTTCTGTCTGCATGCATTACAGTGTGAGATGTTGTTATCAGTCACAAGTTGTGTCTGTGATTTTGGTTCTATTGTTACTAATCAGTTCATGATTATTGTTACCAATCAGTTCATTTGATCAATAATCAATTCATGGACATTAATCTGTTTATACTGCTCAGCCAGGAACCAGTTGGTTCATGCCCCCCCCCCCCCCCCTTTCAACTTCTTCTTCCCGTTGAAAGTTTTCCGGGGCATTCATGCTTTGTCAGAACGCATAGTTACACAACATGCGTCTGTGCATGGCACATAATTACGCGATGCGTAGTTATGCACACGGGGAGCTGAGTGACAAGACGTTTTTTGGGCAAGCTTCCGCTTCTTACTGTGTTCGAATGGACCCAGTGAGGCGAGGACCACATCCGCTTCGCCCTTAACCCATCAGCGACAGCCTTAAAGGGCGAAGCCTATATGAAATAGAACGTTGGTTACGTACTGTAACCCCAGATTCTATGAATATAGGCGTAGCCCTTTAAGCGTCGGGCCTCACTGGCTCCTAAATGGCTGAAGAAAAAGCTATTTTGGGAGCCGATTTCCCGCTCTTAACGTAATTTATACGGACCGGGTGGGGCCCACACAGCAGGTGGGCGTGGACTAAATTTTTTCAGTGCTTATGCTCTGCATAACCCATCAGTGACAGCCTTAAAGGGCTACGCCTATATTCATAGAATCTGGGGTTACAGTACGTAACCAACGTTTTACGATGGACATTTGAGCTCCGTGTCTTCAGCGGGGCGCTGCTCTTTGCTCAAACGGAAAGAGGCGACTCGACCCCGGCCAGCCGCGTCCAATCTGCCCCGCTCAAGTCTGCCCGTCTCTGAGGAGGGACAGACTTGAGCGCGGCTGCCCCAAATCAGGCTGCCTGCTTCGGATCGAACAAGACGAAGACATCACTGAAACCACGGAGCTCAAATGTTTACAGAGAAGTTGCTAAACTTCATCATAATTAATGACCAACCACTATCACTTGTAGAAAACGAAGGATTTCACAGCTTGATACTTGCAGCCAAGATATAGTTTACCCTCCAGGAGATATTTATCAGTACAACAGTAAACAATCATAAAAAACATATTTGAAAATTATATACATTAAAAACAAAAACAGCTACATTATAAAGTGATGTAAAATACTAAAATCAGGAACATGTCTGTTGGTTTATGTCATGAACGTAGCAGATGTTTGAAGCCATTTAACATTTCATTTAATTCATTTATTCATTCATTTAAAAGGAACAATAAAAAAAAACATAAAAAAGAAAACATTGAGTGAAAAGAGTGCAGAAAGAAGAAAAAAAATTCTTATATCTGCCCCTTATTAAAAAAAAATATAACATAACTTTAAACAATCACTTAAACTAATCACTTTAATGTCCACTTTAAAGCTAGGAATAAAAAAAAAACATGTTTTGTGTTAGAATTTAATTCTAACTTTAAAACTTCTCCAACCTTAATACAACTTACCTCAAGTTGCCTTTTTGGACATGCATGCATATATTTGTACAAATTGTACTTGAGACGAGATAATTACAGCCTCATATAAAATCAATGATGATCATGATATCGGAACTGGATCGGTATCGGCCGATATTCAGACTTAGGTATCGGGATCAGATCGGAAGTAAAAAAAGTGGATCGGTGCATCCCTACTTACAACGCTGTTATTGCTAGTATCGCTCAGCCCCCTGTGAATAGTAAACAGCCATCAGGTGCTAAGGATCCATTGTTAGGCTGATGGCCCTTCTTGATCATGTGAGCAGCTGGTTTTGGTTGTCAGCAGCAAACTGGTTGATCCACTCTGAGAAGGTGGTATTTATAAGACTGAGCTGAATACAGCACCTGAGACTGAAGAAGTCTTTCGGATGAAAGACGAAACGTTTCTACATTTTTTTTTTGTTGTTGTTGTGCTTTGTTTTGTTTTTTGAATGTCCAGAGGACCAGATTTAACTTTTTTTAGATTTTTCTACCAGGATTATTGAGCATGCATCAGGACACCTAAACAATAACTTGTTTGCTCAAAATTATAGCAAAGGTGTGTCTCAGTCTAATGTTTGCTTAATAAATGCACTTCAATGGTCAAATTAGTTGCATTTTGCCGGGGCGGTGTAGCTGGTTTGGCTTTCTCCAAGCAGCGAGCAGAACAAAAATGGGGGTAATATGGCAAGCTGATTGTATCTTTAATAGTTTGTGAAGATTTTCAGTCATCAAGGACATGGTAAATTCAAAAAAGTTCTAGAAAAAACAAAGTATAAAGTATAATAAATAAAGTCCAGTTGTTTTTGTCTTGAAGTTTTTTGAATTTGTCATTATAGCCATGTTTACTTATTACATGATACAACAGCATACTTTACTGCTACTACTAATCTGTTGCCATAAAGTGGCTGAAAGTGGTACTGCTCAATTTTTTTTTCAATCAGAATGAATGAAAACGGTCATATCTCAGCCAAAATTGGTTTATAAATATGGGGGAAAAAAATCCATAAATATGTCGCTTCAGCCTACAAGTCACAGGGCATGTAAATTATGCAAAAAACTGTGACTTGTAGGCCGAAAAATACGATAATCAAATTTTCTAAAAATATAAAACAGCACTTTCATCAAGTCAAAAAGATTAAATGTATTTCGCTTTAATTAAATGAGACAATAAGATTTGTTGTTTTTTAATTGCAGTTTTGATACGTCAAATCTGTAGGCTGCTTTCAAAAGTAAAGAATTTATGAAAGATTTCATATTTGTAATTCAGCTTCTCAAAGTATTCCATTTAAGAAAGAGGTTATTGGTTTTGTGAATTGCTTCTATTTTTTTAATAATCTGCAGCAAATCAGCTAATTTGATCAACATGATCATGCCCTTCATGCATTGCATTACTTCCTAGTTTTAATTCCTTTCTACTGCTAGTGTAAAAGACTTTTCATTTGCACCTTAAAGTTCTTAAATCATCGGAGTTGGGTCCAAACATGCCAAGTTGAGTACATTTCTTACTTGTAAAAGTTTTTGTTGACCTTCCTTTCATGTGGGAATCCCAACATGCCGCAAATCACACGGGTGTTTTTGATTGTCCATCCCAAGTCACAGATCTGAGCCCAGCCATCTTTGTGCTTCACTTCCACCACACCCTCTGTAATGGGCATCTTCTTTTTCGCTGCAACAACAACAGGACGGAGTCGCACCTCCTCCACTCTCTTCTCATCGACTTGTGCCTGGAAGGACAGACCAAGTGTAAGAATATTTCTTAGTGCAGGTTTTACTCATCCTGGTACATGAAATGTATATAAGCTGTAAGTTGTTACACCCAGGGGTGGAATGAAGATTATATATTTTTTTAAATGTACCTCTTTATTAGGAATCTGTGAAAAGTCTTACATTTCTGTTAAACTGACACAGATTAGTAAAAACACAATGAGTCATATTTAAAGTGTAACAATGGCCCATCTCAGATCTGATCCTCTCTTTAATAGCTAATGTAAGAAGCATCTTTGCAGTGATTCTCTTCCGTTGTAGTTTATTGGAAAAAAAAAAAAAACTGGCTGTGGTTGGAGATTAAAGTTTGGTTGCCACGTTTGATGGCGTCTCACAAACAGAAAAAGACAAAAAGGGGGAAGAATATGGTGGCCCTGAGGTAATCAACAACATTTGAAAAAACAGAATTACATTTCCAAAAACAGAATTACATTTGGAAAAAAAAGAAAAAAAAGAAAAACAGAATTACATTAAGGCAAAGCAGAAGTGGCCGAAGCAGAAGTGGCTGGATGCACATTTGAAAGGTCTTCAGGTCTCTCTTGTAAATGAGTCCTTGTGGCTCAATGGGAATAACCTGTTTAAATAAAGGTTGAATGAGTGAAAAAATGTAATTCCATTTGAAAAAATTGAATTACATTAAGGGCAGCACGGTGGCGCAACTGGTAGAGCTGCTGCCTCTCAGCGAGCAGGTCCTTGATTCAAACCCCGGTCCAGGGGCCTTTCTGGGTGGAGTTTGCATGTTCTCTCCGTGCATGCGTGGGTTTTCTCCGGTACTCCGGTTTCCTCCCACAGAACAAAAACGTGCATGTTAGGCTGATTGGTAACTCTAAAACTGTCCCTAGGTGTGAGTGAGAGAGTGAATGGTTGTTTGTCTCGTTTGTCTCTATGTGGCCCTGTGATGGACTTGCGACCTGTCCAGGGTGTACCCCGCCCCTCGCACAGTGATTGCTGGACATGGGCACCGGCGACCCCCGTGACCCAAAATGGAACAAGCGGGTAAAGAAAATGGATGGATGGATGGATGGATGGAATTACATTAAGCAAAAGAAGAAGTGGCCGAAGTGGAAGTTGCTGAAGTGTCCGGAATTACATTCGAAAAATGGAATTACATTTGAATAAACGGAATTGCAATAAGCAAAACTGGAAGTGGTGGTGGTGGTGGGGTCGTGTTTTTTTTTTATGTTTTAGACAAAACTCTGTTTTTTCTTGTTTTTTGTTCTGCCATGCAGATTCTGCAGCCAACAATGATGGTTGCAGCATGATGAAACCATGGGCTCCTGCATGCTACCTGAAACTTGGATGAAGTCCAAGTCCAAATCCTTGGTTGTTGTTTTTTACAGCAGTATTTGACAATTACATTACATTCCAACACATTGCAACAGTTTTTACCAGATGTGCATTCATTATGAAGACCACATGACCATTGGAACTACCACTACACTAGCTTCACTAGTACATTTTTTATATATATAGTAGTGTGTGTGATGTAGTTTGGTTGCTTTTATTGTTTCCTGTATGGAAGGTACTCTTAATTTCATGGCATTTTTTAAATGGTAAATGGACTGTACTTATATAGCGCCTTTCTATCTTATAGAGATACTCAAAGCGCTTTACACTACAATCTGTGTCCTTTTTTACTCATTCATACAACACTCTATTATATCTCTACAAAGCTAATTGAACAAATCATTCTAAAGAGACTAATCAATTCTTTATCACATTCATACACCAATGGGACACACATCGGAGGCAGTGAGGGCTTCAGTGTCTTGCCCAGGGACACTTCGGCATGTTACTGCTGGTGGATTCGAACCCCCAACTCTTGCATTGGAGGACGACTGCTCTAACCACTAAGCCACAGCCGCCACACTGTACACTTACAATAAAGTCAATCATTCATCCAAAAAAGTTCAATCTGGTCCTCTGGACATTCAAAAAAACAAAAAACAAAACAAAGCAAAAAAATCTAGAAACGTTTCGTCTCTCATCCAAGAGACTTCCTCAGTCTGAGGTGCTGTTTTCAGCTCAGTCTCTTAAATAGTACCTTCTCAGGGTGGATCAACCAGTTTTGCTGCTGACAACCAAAACCAGCTGATCACATGCTCAAGAAGGACCATCGGCCTAACAATGGATCATTAGCACACTGATGGCTGTTTACTACTCACAGAGGGCTGAGTGATACTAGCAATCACAGCATTGTAAGAGGGGGACAGTTGAACCCAGAGGCCTCCACCCCTGTTTAATGATGGACGATTTCTTTTCACAAAGATGGCCTCCTTTACTCCTCTCTCAAACCATCGTTCCTCTCTATCCAGGATGTGAACATCTTCATCCTTGAAAGAGTGACCGCTGGCCTGGAGATGAGTGTAGACCACAGAGTCCTGGCTTTTTAGGCCCGAGCAGCAAAGCGCTGCGAAGGCCTATTGTAATCGCTCTGTTCAGGCCCGAGCTGTAATTTTTTTCCGTCAAATGAATTGGCCTTTTGGGGGCCTTTACATATCCCAAAAGTCACCAAATTTGGCGGACACATCAGGACTGGTGAAAGAAATACGTATTTTAAGGGCGTGGCAAAAATCGCAACAGAAACAGCTCAAGAGCGCCACCTAGAAAATTTAAAAATATCCTCCACATTAACCTTAGTTTGTCGTAGAAACATGAAATTTGGTACGCTTATCCAATTCCCCAAGATGTACAGAAAACCCTCTGGCACCTACGTTGTATGATAAACAGGAAGGCCATTTTCGAATGCTGGCCCAATTTTCACACGTTTTTGGTAGTTTACAGCCTCTGCATTTGAACAAAGTCCTCTTAGGGATATCGCTCAATCGGTTTCAAACTTGGCCATTTTGGTCAAAAGGCATGAGAGACGCAAAGTTATCAAAATGGTTAGTTTCAGAGCATGCTGAAGGGGCGGGGCCAGACCTAAAATTTTGACATCTCGCCATGAAAAACGAAACGCTAATAGCTCTTACAAGAAAACTGAGACATCAAACCTTCAGTGATTGATCCACATCCAGTTCCCTGCAAAACAGAATGGTCAACTCATGACATCACTTAAGCCACACCTCCTGACAACAGGAAGTATAAAGTTTTACCTTGAAAGGTCCCTATGTGACCCCTGTCACCTGATCAGCATGATAGTGTGTCCAGTGACCAAAGACATGTTGGTGTAACTTGCTTTCCAACACTGACAGTTTGGGGTGGAGCATGTGGGCAGTGCGACGTGGCAAAGCAAGACGTAACGCCGTCTCCATACGTTTGGCTCTAAATTCCACAGATTTGAACCGAGGTGTACCAAAATCAGTATGATTGATCAATAGCCACCCCTTGAACAAGAAGCCATGATAAGTGGCCAATAGCCTCCATAGTGCCCCCTAGAATATTTTAAAACCTCAGCCCCAAGCCATTTTTTCACCGATAATTCTGAAACTGGTCATTGGTCATTTTGGGTCAAAGGGTCATTTTTGGGCGTTTCTAATGGCGAATTTTAACAAACTCCTCCTAGGGATTTTGAATGATTGCTTTCAAACTTGGATAATATGCCCTTAAGACATTGGAGAGTAAAAGTTATCAAAAGCTTTTGGTTTTGTTTTGTTAAAGGGGCGTGGACAGGCCTCAAAGTTGCGCTTCACGCCATAAATTTCCAAACGCTATAACTTTCACATTGAAAGACCGAAATGCACCAAACTTGGCATGACTCATCCCTGTTGGATGCCCGACGACCCACTGGAGTCACATTTTGATGTCATCAAAGCCCTGCCCCCTCGGAACAGGAAGTCCCTTTTTTTTTACCTGGAATGCTCACTCTTTGACACCCTTGACCTAATCAGGATTATCCTGTCTTAGAATACAGATAAGATGGTCTGACTTGATTTAAATTACAAACAGTTATAGCTGGAGGATGTGGGCGTGGCGAATTAAGAAGTGACACCGTTGCAATACATTTATCTCTAAATTGCACAGATTTGAGCCAAGGTGTACCAAAATCACTATGATCTATCATTATCCACCCCTTGAACAGGTGTCTATGATAAGTGGCAAATAGTCTCCACAGCGCCAATTACATTATTCCAACAGTCATATCTCAATGATACATCATCCGATCTGCACCAGATTTTTGGTGTGTCATCTGTAAGCCTTTCTAGACACATTGGTGTTGTTGTTTAATATTTGAATAGTGTGTCCCCTAGATTATTTAAACTGTTATATGTCAATGATATATTATCCGACCTGCACCACATTTTTAGTGCATCATTAGTGAGCACTTATGGACACATTGGTATTGTTTTTTTACTTTTGACTCCAGTGCGCCCCTTACATTATTCTTACTGGTATATTTCAGTGAAATATCATCATATATGTACAAGATTTATTGTGGATGATCAGTGAGCATTTATAGACACATTGAAATTGTTCGTTAACATTTGACTCAAGTGCGCCCCCTACAATATTCCAACAGTTATAGCTCAGTTTTATATCATCCGATCGGAACCAGATTTTTTGTGCATAATCGGTGAGCACGTCTAGACACATTGATATTGTGGTTTAACATATGACTCAAGTGTGCCCCCTAGATTATTTAATCAATTATATCTCAGTGATATATCATCCGATCTGCACCAGATTTTTGGTGTGTAATTAGTGAACACTTCTAGACATACTGGTATTGTTTTTTTAAATTTTGACTCCAGTGCGCCCCCTACATTATTCCAACAGTTATATTTCAGTGAAATATCATCCAATAGGTACCAGATTTATCGTGGATGATCAGTTAGCACTTCAAGACACATTGGGATTGTTCTTTAACATTTGACTATATTGCGCCCCCTACATTATTCAAACAGTAATATCTCAGTTATATATCGTCCAATATGTCAGAGTCAGAGTTTCTTTATTGTCATTCGCACCTCATGTGGTACATGTGGTGGAGCGAAATTATGTACATAAGGTCCCAGTTACATCCAACAATAAAATGTATAAGAAAAACAGTAATAACATCTAAAATATGAACTAAGAAAAACATAAACTAAATATACACTAAGCACTCATAACATAAAACATTGAACATCAGCACAAACATGAACATGAGTCTGTGAGCAAATGTGCATGCATGAACACATCAACATTGAAACAGATCAGCAGCAACATGAAACAGATCAACAGCAACACGATATGGTTTTTCACAGCGATTATTCTAGTTAGAGATTAATGAGTCTAACAGCCTCAGGGTAGAAGCTGTTCCTCAGTCTAGTGGTTCTACACTTAATGCTCCTTAACCTCCTTCCTGAGGGGAGTGGGGCAAAAAGTGTGTGTGCTGGGTAAGTGGGGTCCTTCATGATGCAGGTGGCCCTCTTCCTGCATCTGGAGGTGTAGATGTCTGTGATGGTGGGGAGGCTGATTCCGACAGATTTCTGTGCAGCCTTCACCACTCTCTGCAAAGCTTTTCTTTCTGCAGCTGTGCAGCCTCCATGCCACACGTTGATGCTGGAGCACAGGATGCTCTCCACTGCACACATGTAGAAGGAGGTGAGGACTGAGCTTCCCAGACCAGCTCGCCTCAGCCGTCTGAGGAAGTAGAGTCTCTGATGAGCTTTCTTGATCAGGCTGGTGGTGTTGTTGCTCCAGCTGAGGTTGTCATTCACATGTACACCCAAGTACTTGTAGCTGGAGACCACTTCCACCGCAGATCCTCTTATGTTCAGGGGGGTGTAGATGTTTTTGTTCCTTCTGAAGTCCACAATCATCTCCTTTGTCTTCTTCACATTGATGTGAAGGTTATTCTCTTTGCACCAGCTCTCCAGGTGTTCCACCTCTTGCCTGTAGCTGGACTCATCATTGTTTGTGATGCATCCCACCACCGCTGTATCATCTGCAAACTTTACAATGTGACAGCCTGGATGGGTAGCTGCACAATCATACGTGAGCAGAGTAAACAGGAGGGGGCTTAACACACCTCCCTGAGGAGAGCCAGTGCCGAGGGTTATGGTGGAGGAGGAGAAGTTGTGGGTCCTCACTAACTGTGGTCTGTTTGTTAAAAAGTCTAGTACCCAGTTGCAAATGGAGGGGCTTAGTCCTAGTGTGGATAGTTTGTCCATCAGGGTTTGGGGGATCATGATGTTGAAGGCGGATGTGTAGTCCACAAAGAGCATACGGATGTAAGAGTTTTTCTGCTCCGGGTGGTTGAGTGTAGTGTGGACCACAGAGGAGATGGCATCCTCTGTTGATCGGTTCTCACGGTATGCATACTGATGAGGGTCCTCGTTGATGTTGATGGTTGTTTTGATGCGAGTCATGACCAGTTTTTCAAAGCATTTAGCGACTATCGGGGTGAGGGCCACTGGCCGATAGTCATTCAGACCAGTCACTGTAGAGCTTTTTGGGACTGGGATGATGGTGGCAGTTTTCAAGCAGGTGGGAACTGTCTCCAGGGTAAGTGAGGTGTTAAAGATGTCTGCCAGCACCTCACAGAGCTGATCAGCACATTCCTTCAACACTTTTCAGGGGATGTTGTCTGGGCCAGTTGTCTTGTGCGGATTAATCCTCCTGAAGGTACTCCTTACTTCTGCTGAGGTCAAGCTGAGATGCTCTTCATCCGGTGGTGAGGTGAGTCTGGTGCTTGGTGGTCTGTTCGGGTTTTCAAAGCGTGCATAGAACTTGTTGAGGGCATCAGGCAGAGATGGGTCTTTGGGGCATTGTTCACTCCTTCATTTATAATCTGTTATGCACTTAATGCCCCTCCACATGTTCCGAGGGTCTTGTGAGATGAATTGACCCTCGATCCTCTTTGCATATGTGGCCTTGGCCCTCTTAATACCAGCAACCAGCTCTTTTCTTGTCCTACTTAGCTCCTCTGAGCTTCCAGACCTGAAGGCAGTGTTCCTGGCTTCCAGCAGGGTACGCACCTCTGCATTCAGCCAAGGTTTTCTGTTTGGGTAGCTTATAACATTTCTGACAGTGGAGACGGTGTCAGTACATGTACTAATGTAACCCAGAACTGAGGATGTGTATTGGTCAAGATCAAGCAAACCTCCATTCTCAGCAGCTTCTCTGAAAACCTGCCAGTCTGTTCGGTCAAAACAATCTCTCAGTATGGGGCCACTGTCCTGGATCCAGCATTTAACTTTCTTTTGTACCGGTCTGGAGCTTCTCAGCGGGGGCATGTAAGCAGGAGCCAGGAAGATTGAGATGTGGTCTGACAGTCCTAGGTGGGGGCGGGGTTCGGCTTTGTATGCATCTTTTATGTTCGTGTAAACACGGTCCAGCGTGTGGTCTCCACGTGTTGGAATCGCCACATGTTGATAAAAGCTTGGGAGACAGTCCTTTAGATTCACGTGGTTAAAGTCTCCGGCTACCATGTAAAGAGCCTCGGGGTGTTTGTTCTGCAGCGAGCTGACGATATCATGAAGCTCCTACAGTGATTCATTAGCATTAGCGTCCGGAGGAATGTAGACGACAGAGATAAAAGTCACCGTGAACTCGCGGGGTAGATAAAGTGGCCGACATTTCACTGTTATTTGCTCCAAAGCCTTCGAGCATGAGCTATTTACAACAGTACAGTTCGTGCACCAACTTTTACTCATGTAAATGTATACTACTGACTTTAAGATCTGCATTCTACTGAGCGTAGTTTTGAGTTTGTTGCTGATTTCTGCTATATTTCGTGGCAAATCCGCTCCTATTCTCATCAGTTCGGTTCGGCTATAGTTCACACGCATAAATCGTGCGGAGTCAGGCACAGAGTCAATATCAAAACTTCTATGTATTCTTTATATATGTACCAGATTTGTTATGCGTGATCAGTGAACCATTCTGCACACATTGGGATTGTTGTTTAACATTTGACTCCTGAGTGCCCCCTAGGTTATTCTACAAGTTATATCTTAGTAATGTATCATCCGATCTGCACCAAATTTATGTTGCATCATTAGTGAGCACTTCTAGATACATTGGTTTGGTTGTTTAACTCTAGTGCGCCCCTAGATTATTCCAACAGTTATATCTCAGTGAAATATCATCCAGTATGTTCCAGATTTATTGTACATGATCAGTGAGCACTTATAGACACATTGGTATTGTTCTTTAACATTTGACTCAAGTGCACCCCCTACATTATTCCAACAGTTATATCTCAGTGAATTATCATCCGATCAGAACCAGATTTTTGGTGCATAATCCGTGAGCATGTATAAACACATTGATATTGTGGTTTAACATGATTCAAGGGCGCACCCTCTCATACTGATATGGGCAGAAGGCGATTGCAAAGTTTAGGCATATGCGCACCCTGGTGGACGCTTGTGAGAATGGCATGAAAGCGTTCACGATGGCGACTGGGAGGCATTACTGGAGCACCCGCGGTCGTGGGGGATGTCGAAGGTTCGGCGAATGCGCACCCCGGCGAATGGGCACGGGACGGGTGCGAGAGTGTTCGCGATGGCGACTGGGCGGAGTCGCTGGAGCTCCCGCGGTCGCCGTAAGGCCGGAGCGGCGCTTTGCTGCAAGGGCCTTCAATGCTGCTTGCAGCTTTAATTTGTTTTGTTTTTTGAACGGCCAGAGGATCTTGACTTCACTGTTTTAGATTTTTCTACCTGGATTATTGAGCATGCATCAGAATATTTCATGCACGTTAGTTCACTGGGGCGATCCCTGAGGAAGTGTTAGATATTTATCTGACTGGTTCTGGGGTTTTGATCTGCTTAGAGACAGGATTATAATGACATTTTGACCCAGTTCTGACTGGGTTAAACTGGGTCAACAACTCTAAAAAGAGTCTCCCTGGGATTCAATGTCCGTCAAGGAACAGAGTTTAATCTGCTTGCCATATCACGTAGAAAGGCTTTTTGAAGCACTGTCTCATATTTCCTTACACGCCAGTCCATGTACGATCCATTGAGATCACAATTAGTCACGCCCCCTCATACACTGACAGGTTGTGCTCCCCTTCTGCTAAGGAGGAATCCAGGACCCTATAAATGAGTAATGACATGGGACATCGGGGCTCTTCCAGGTTTGTGATCGCATCACAGACCGGAGAGACCAGCGCTGTAAACTGTAACCTTTTCCTGCCTTGATTTTAATACAATTGGTAAAATTGAATTCACGTTTCCTTGATTTATTGTTAGTATGAGTTGCCACTTCTGAGAGAGATTCAAGCCGGGGGGAGCGACGTGGACTGGAGGCGGGTCCTGGGTCTGAGAGGGAACCTCTGGGTAACCTGTGACCCGCAGCCAGCCCTCGTCTCGACGCAACAGAAAGGAGCAGCTGAAAAAAGAAAAAAAAACAGCGATTTTTCTTTTTCAATGTTCAGTTGGCTGTGGCAGCCGTCTTGAATTGGATTGACCTCAAAGTTTAATCAGATGTAGATGTACATCCAATGATTACTTTCTGAAAGTTTAATTAAAATCTGTTTGGTAGTTTATGGGATAAATTAATAACATAAACAGATGACCCTACTGACAAAGTTTGAAAAACAGATGTTTTGATTATGACCAGTCCAAACTTAATTAACTATGAGCAGATCAGATCAGCAACAGTATCCAGCAGGTTGTACTGTGGGGATGAATATCTCCTGCACTGGTTAAACCTTGTGAACTACATAACATGGAGGGAAGTACAAGCATATATAAACTTAAACCAGCTTCAACATGCAAGCGTTTAGGACAAATCTATAAATCCTTAATGTATTTCAATAACTTACATCAATAACATTTGGATCCACAAAGCCAGGAATCCTCTCATCTCTGCAAACAACTCCAGCATCTTCATCATGAGTGCAGTCACTGTTGCCCCAGCCACGAGACTTGCAGAATTCAATGCTCTTCTCACCTCCATTGCACAACACGTTGTCCAGCCAGATCTTCCCTGCACAGGCAATAGTCAGTGAGAATCCAACACACCCACAGGCCGGGGAACATCAATCAGTCCAGGTCTGAAGTTCTTGTGTAACCTACAATTCTGCCACTTCATTTACCTAGCCTTTTGCTACTTTCATGTTTTAACTACTGTTCTGATACTTTTATCATTTATCTAACCTTTTGTAAGCCTTTGGTTATGTTTATTTTTTAGCTACCATTCTGCAACTGTCATATTTTAACTAGCCTTTTCTTTTTTAAGCTTTAGCACTTTCATGTTTTAGCTAGCTGGCACAAAGATGCAGTTGGTAGAGCTGTTGCCTCTCAGCGGGAAGGCCACTGGTTCAAATCCCAGCTGACGGCCATTCTGGGCATGTTCTCTCTGTGCCGCGTGGGTTTTTTCCAAGTACTTCAGTTTCCTCCCACAGACCAAAAATATGCACGTTAGACTGATTGTTTTTTTTTTTCTTTCTTTTGTGATGGCCTCCCTTCTCCCCTTACAGCCATCCTCTCCACATCATTATTATGAAATATTTATTCTAGTGACTATCTAGTGTAGGTTTTTTTTTTTTTTTTGATGGCCTCCCTTCTCCCCTTACAGCCATCCTCTCCACACCATTATTATGAAATATTTATTCTAGTGACTATCTAGTGTAGGTTTTACGTTAGACTGATTGTTAACTCTAAATTGTCCGTAGATGAGAGAGTGAATGGTTGTTTGTTTTGTTTGTTTCTGTGTGGGCCTGTGATGGACTGGAGACCTGTCTAGGTGTCCCCTGCCTCTTGCACAGTGATAGCTGGATATGGGCACCAGTGTCTCCCATGACCCAAAAAGGAAGAAGCGGGTAAAGATGATAGATGGGATGGATGTTTTAGCTATTTTTCTGCTACTTTTGCCACTTTGAGCCAATATATTTCTCTACCTTTAGCTAGCACTTTGCTAATTTTAGTTTAAATAACTTTGATTAGTTTCAGCAAATGTCAGCATTCATTCAGCACTCAGCATTCATGCTGTGTTTCTGTAGAAAACAGTCTTAGTTGAATGTAGAAATATTTCACTTTTGTAAAAAACGAAGCACTTTTTCTCATGTTTTTATAATTCACACAATCATGCCTTCTTAAAGCAGCAAAGGTGGCACAAAGCAGAACACAACCTTTACCTCTGTCACTAATTAGTCTTTTTCTTAAGATGGAAATTTACAAGTTTTGATGTGTTGCGCCAAAAGTTATTTTTTTTTTTTGGCTAAAGCAATGGTTTCATTTCAATAAAAGTTGCTACACAGGACAATATACTTTCATTAGAATGTTTGTGGCTGAACATAGCTCAATGAATAAGAAACCAAACGTCACTAAAAGTGTCTCAGGTCAGTCTTACCTTGGCCTTTGCCATATTTGGCACTGTGGGTCCATCCTGTGGCCGAGACAAAACCCAACTGGTGACAGAGCACGTTGGCGTTGGCTATTGAGAAGTCATCATCACAGATTGTTCCCCACTCTCCTTTGTAGAACAGTTCTATCCGTCCCTCGTTATGTTTTCGGGGGTATCCAGATAGTCTGACTTTAAGCTTTTCAGTCTGAGGGGATGACGATGGGGTAGGTGTAAAGTTGGCTCTGTTTGCTGCTGTAGTTTGGGCTAAACAATGAGGAAACCACAACCCTAACAGGAAGCTGAACACAACTTGCTGCCTGTGCCTTAACGTCTTCATGATTTCAGCTGGACATAAAGCAGAGAAAGAAACAATGACAAGTCAGGTAGGAGTTTATGAAAATAACTTAAAAAAACGTTTGTTTTATGTACACCAAGGCAGAAACAATAAGAGCTGTCCTTGTTCATTCATTCATTCAACCTTTATTTAAACAGATAAGTCACTTTGAGCCTCAAAGACTCATTTACAAGTGAGACCTGTGTGGACAGACAATAAAAGTGGTGATAAATAACAATTAGGGTTTGGAGACAAAAAAAAATTCCTAGCACGCTTTTAAGCTCTGTTTGAAGGTCAACAGTGTGGTAATGAAACAAAAATATTTCACACACTAGCACATAATGACACCAACATTACGCGGGGGGGGGGGGGGGGACAGTCAGAGACAACACACAGAGGCACTGCAGAGTTCAGATAAAAATTACTCAGTTCAAATAGTTCCCTCTGGAGAGGTCCGTGCACACCCGGGAGGTACCGAGGATGACCAGAGACAACGCCAGAGTCCTGAAATGTCAGAATGTTTATTCAGCTAGGCTCCTCTGAAAAGTCCATGGAAATTCATCAGTAGGAGGGGAGGGAGGGGCTGAGCATCAGGTTTACAAAACTTTCCAGGCGGGTTGAGATAAGATGGCCTGTCAAGGCCAGTCAGGGAGCCGAATTCAGATAAACACAATTGTTTTGGGGACAGGCAGAACATTAATGACATCTACCTTGAGTCTGTGTCGGTCCACTCGGTTCAGAAACGTCCAAATTAAATGACCGTACCAATGAAACATGCCTGAGAATAATCCCGAGATCTGATCCAATCTGCCTAGAGTCTGGGTGATCGAGGCACAAACCAAGCCATCATATAAGGCAGGCAGCCTGACCAGGTCCAGATTTGCTGCCGACGACTTCCTTGTTTGTTGATAGACCAGGAACCAGCCAAATCCAAAAAGCAGGAACCAGGTATTATATATCCAATTATAAATGCGTCCTTAAAATCCACAGATGACAGTAGAGATAGACACATCATCAAGTCTTCAAAGTTGATGAGATATCCAGCTGCGTGCAGGCCAAAAGGGCAAATTGGCTCACCTAAAGCCTGTCTTCTCTTCAAAGAAATGTTATCAATTGTGTTGAGGGACCAGCTGACCAAATCCAAGTCCATAGTTATGATTCGTGTTCTGAGTTCTGAGATTCACAGAACAACTGTGTCAACTCTTGAAACTGTACCTGCAGTCAACCTACTTCACATATGGGGAGCAGTATTATAGGCAGAAACATGGGTGTGCTATGGGGTCTCCAGTTTCTCCTATTGTTGCCAACCTGTGCATAGAGGAAGTAGAAAAGAGAGCCTTGACGTCCTTTTCAGGGACACCACCAAGTCATTGGTTCAGGTATGTTGACGACACCTGGGTTAAAATTAAATCTCAGGAAGTCCAACATTTTACTGATCACATCAACTCTGTGGATAAATATATCAAGTTCACACGAGAAGATGTAAAAAAATGACAGGCTGGCTTTCTTGGACTGTGAGGTTCAGTTTCTGATAGAGGACATTTGTAAACTGAGATGTACCGCAAACCCACCCACACAGACCAGTATTTGCAGTTTGACTCCCATCACCCTTTGGAGGACAAGATAGGAGTCATCAGAACTCTGTACCACAGAGCAGACAGCATCCCCACTAACTCAGGAGCCAGGCAGAAGGAGAAATTCCACACAAGACAGGCTCTAGAGCAATGTGGATATCCTAACTGGGCCTTCCTGAAAGCAGAGAAGAAACCCAAACAGGACTCCAGTCAGCTCTCAGGTGAAAAAGAGGAACCCAGACCAGTAGTCATTCCGTATGTTGCGGGAGTATCAGAGAAACCGAAACATTTATTTTCTAAACACAACATCCCAGTGGCTTCTAAATCCCAAAATACATTACGGCAAAGGCTGGTTCATCCCAAAGATCCCGTCCCCCAGCACAAACAGAGTAATGTTGTGTATGCTATTCAGTGTTAGGAGGGCTGTGATCAGGCCTCCGGGCCTTTGGTGTGGGGCTGGGGTGCCTGATCCTTGGTGCGCTGGGCCGGCCATCCTCAGCTGCTACTCCCTGCTGCTTTGCCCCCGGCCAGGGGCTGGCTTGCGGTCGCTGTGGGGTGGGTGGGGCACATGGACATAAGGGAAACTAAACAGCCACAGGCCAAAAGGATGGCCCAGCACAGAAGAGCAACACCTTCAGGCCAGGACACTGCGGTCTACACTCATCTCCAGGCCAGTGGTCACTCTTTCAGGGATGAAGACTTTCTGCTCTCTGGGGAGTGGGTGGGTCTGTGCCAATTGCTGCCTCATCCCCCCCCATTTTAAAGGCACTATACAACTACAACATGCATCAACACCTAATTTGAGTGGGAAGAGGGAGGAGTGGGGTCTTCCTGTTAATTATGTACAGTATATACACACACACACATATATATATATATATATACAGGTCCTTCTCAAAAAATTAGCATATTGTGATAAAGGTCATTATTTTCCATAATATAATGATAAAAATGAAACTTTCATATATTTCAGATTCATTGCACACCAACTGAAATATTTTAGGTCTTTAATTGTTTTAATACTGATGATTATGGTATACAGCTCATGAAAACCCAAAATGCCTGTCCCAAAAAATTAGCATATTTCATCCCACCAATGAAAGACAAGTGTTTTTAATACAAAAAATGCCAACCTTCAAATAATCATGTTCAGTTATGCACTCAATACTTGGTCGGGAATCCTTTTGCATGAATGACTGCTTCAATGCGGCATGGCATGGAGGCAATCAGCCTGTGGCACTGCTGAGGTGTTATGGAGGCCCAGGATGCTTCGATAGCAGCCTTAAGCTCATCCAGAGTGTTGGGTCTTGTGTCTCTCAACTTTCTCTTAACAATGTCCCACAGGTTCTCTATGGGGTTCAGGTCAGGAGAGTTGGCAGGCCAATTGAGCACAGTAATACCATGGTCAGGAAACCATTTACCAGTGGTTTTGGCACTGTGAGCAGATGCCAGGTCGTGCTGAAAAAGGAAATTTTCATCTCCATAAAGCTTTTAAGCAGATGGAAGCATGAAGTGCTCCAAAATCTCCTGATAGCTAGCTGCATTGACCCTGCCCTTGATAAAACACAGTGGACCAACACTAGCAGCTGACATGGCACCCCAGACCATCACTGACTTTGGGTGCTTCACACTGGACTTCTGGCATTTTGGCATTTCCTTCTCCCCAGTCTTCCTCCAGACTCTGGCACCTTGATTTCCGAATGACATGCAATGTTTGCTTTCATCCGAAAAAAGTACTTTGAACCACTGAGTAACAGTCCAGGGCTGCTTCTCTGTAGCCCAGGTCAGGCGCTTCTGCTGCTGTTTCTGGTTCAAAAGAGGCTTGACCTGGGGAATGCGGCACCTGTAGCCCATTTCCTGCACACGCCTGTGCACAGTGGCTCTGGATGTTTCTATTTCAGACTCAGTCCACTGCTTCCGCAGGTCCCCCAAGGTCTGGAATCGGCCCTTCTCCACAATCCTCCTCAGGGTCCGGTCACCTCTTCTCGTTGTGCAGCGTTTTCTGCCACACTTTTCCCTTCCCACAGATTTCCCACTGAGGTGCCTTGATACAGCACTCTGGGAACAGCCTATTCGTTCAGCAATTTCTTTCTGTGTCTTACCCTCTTGCTTGAGGGTGTCAATGATGGCCTTCTGGACAGCAGTCAGGTCGGCAGTCATACCCATGATTGCGGTTTTGAGTAATGAACAAGGCTGGGAGTTTTTAAAAGTCTCAGGAATCTTTTGCAGGTGTTTAGAGTTACGTCGTTGATTCAGATGGTTAGGTTAATAGCTTGTTTAGAGAACCTTTTCATGATATGCTAATTTTTTGGGACAAGCATTTTGGGTTTTCATGAGCTGTATGCCATAATCATCAGTATTAAAACAATTAAAGACCTGAAATATTTCAGTTGGGGTGCAATGAATCTGAAATACATGAAAGTTTCATTTTTATCATTACATTATGGAAAATAATGACCTTTATCACAATATGCTAATTTTTTGAGAAGGACCTGTACGCTCCTGAAGAAACCACCTTATCTAAGGTGGCCCTGATTGAACCTAAGATCGGACCCATGACCATCAGACACCCTGTGTATGTGTCCCCACTGGAGTCCATCCCTTTCCTAGTAGGACAAGATCTTCTAAACCGATTTCAGCCTTTGGTCTGGTCCTCACTGTGGGAACTTTAAATTGTCTGGTCTACGAGCTTAACCGTAAGGTGGAGGCGATTGAGAATCGCAGACCACCTGCGGCTTCTGGGACTCGTCAGCGTGGTGGGTTCGACCTTGAAGGAGACTCATAGCATGGATCAGTGGAATGTAATCCCACAATTAGGCATTTTCGGAACCAGAACGCCCAGATGGACTCAAGGCTGAAGAAAAAAAAAATCTGTCTGCCTGAAAACAAAACAAAAATCAAGCTTATCTGAATCAGACTCCCAATGGCCTTGGAGACAGGCTGACTATCAAATTTCTCATGGGACATGAATACCCAAGGACAAAAGCTTCATCTATCACGCCCCCCCCCCCCCCCCCCCCCCCAAGAACTTTCTGTGCAAGCTTATCAGAACTGCTGGCTGGAACAACATCTTCAGAAACTGTGGCTGGTCTGAAAAAACGCTCATGGACAAATCTCAACACCTCGATGTCAAATGCAAATGTAATCATGTTTTAATTGTGTTTGCTGGTAGAGTTTTTTTATGTCTCAAATCGTGTCCTGATAGACGAGATGTGAAAGATCTTTTTTTGTAATACCACTATCTACCCTCATGTTTCTCCCCCTTTTCCTATCTAAGATTATTATCTGATAAGGATAAAATGGCCACACTCTCCTGTAGTTGCAGCTTCGTGCACTCCGCCCATCTTTCGGACGACTGTACGTACATATTCACATTGTACCTTGGTGCAATTCCAATAAAGTTTATTCTGATTCTGATTGATTTTAAGA